ATGGATTCATGACTCCCCCTACGAGAGCGCACACGCAGGCCCCCGGCGTTTCCTGAGTAGACTACGTGAGCTCTTTTTCTGGCCAACAATGCATAAGGATGTCATGGATTATACCAAATCGTGCGATACGTGTCAGAAGATTAAAACGGATCGACGCGCTCAGGCTGGAGGGCTACGTCCTGCACATATCCCAGCCAGGCCCTTTGCTACAGTATCTTTAGACCTCATAACGGGTCTCCCGCCCTCTGGCGAAGAAGGCTACACGGCCATATTTGCTATAGTGGACAAGTTAACTAAGTTCGCCATTTTCTTACCGACCCACGACACATTGACCCAAGAACAATTCGCGGATTTGTTCGTGGACCGCGTGGCTAATGTCTATGGGTTACCAGAGCGCATCATAGCCGACCGCGATAAGCGTTGGTCCACTGCGTTCTGGAAGTCCGTAGTATCTCACTACGGAGGAGTCATGGCGTTGTCATCTTCTCATCACCCCCAGACGGACGGTCAGACCGAGATTCTTAACGCCACCATCGAACAAATGCTGAGGGCGTATGTTGCCACGGATCGTACCTCTTGGGCTAAGTGGCTGAGTGTATTGAATTATTCGTATAATAGTTCGGTACACTCTTCCACTGGATACGCGCCTCACTTCTTATTGATGGGTTACAAGCCACGAACTTCCACAGTGGGCTTGACCCCTGAAGGAGACCCTGTCGCGCGCCCGTTCATCGCGAGTCAAACGGCTGAGGAATTCATTGGTGAATTAGAATTCCATCGAGCCGCCGCTAGGGATGCGTTAGTATTAGCGCAAGAACGTCAGGCAGCTTCATACAACAAGGGTAGACGTCCTGCAGAGATCCTGCAAAAGGGGGATCTAGCTTTGATTAACCCTCACACCCTCAAGCTAGTGGATGTCAAAGGTACCGGCCGCAAACTCGTACAGAGGACCATCGGTCCTTTCGAAGTACTTGAACAAATAAACCCCCAAGTATATCGATTGAAACTGCCGCCGAACTACCCTATGCACCCAGTATTCAATCTCGAACACCTCAAGAAGTATCACCCTTCTCCCCCGAGGTTTGATGATCGAGAGAGCCTACCTAGCACCAGAGAACTGGTCGCCTACCCTGAATACGAAGTAGAATCTATCGTGGGACATCGTCTTACGACCCAGAAGCGGGGCAATCGACGAATGTACTTAGTGCATTGGAAAGGACATGAACCCGTGGACGACACTTGGGTATCCGAATACGAGTTGCGCAACGCCCCTGAAATCACCAGAGCCTATTTGCGAGCCAATAACCTCTAAGGAACGAGAGAGATCTCGGATCTCGGATATTAATTCCCGCTTATTTGCTGGTATTGATGATCGAGGGTTGATAACAATTTTCATCTCCGACATCCTTCTTTCTTCCTTACCCCCATTATCTTCTATCGTCGCGCGGTCCCCACTGCGTTAAGACTCATTCGTACACCTCGCGTGGTTCACACTGCATTGAAACTATTCACCCACTCTTTTAATTACTTATAGCTACTTTCTAATTACTAAAATGCACTCGTTCAATTCGAACCGCCGTCCTGCCAGAGACTCACGAGTCACTTCCACGTCTAGGAGATCCAGCGCAACCGGCTACCTAGCTAAGCCATGCATTGACTCCAGACTGCTTGCCCGGCTACCCATCTTCGAGATCCAGTCGCATCGCATCGTACAAATAGGCGAAGAGGCTTGGGAGTTGTGGTCGCCAAATTCACTGCAAATTCCTTTCCTGCCTGGACGGGTGGAAGACTTCATGGAGATCAGCATAGCCAGCCGTTGTCCTGACCGCAGAAGTGACGGGCATCTGGGCCGATTCGATGCCTGCGTTTCGCCTCAATACTCCACTGGGCATTCGCCCTGGGCTCCCCACGTACGACGAATCTTGGATGTCACGGATATGCGTGGTTCTGTCAACCCTTGTTATGTGGAGGAACTTCTACAACGGAACTCGGCGTTCGAAGGTTGCCTCACTGAATTCATGGCTATCAGCCAGAGCAATTCAGCCATTGCATTCGAAGATGAGTGGCGGCAAAGCCGTCCCTTCATCAGTCAGGAGGACATAGAGGATCTTCGGTCCATACGCTCATTCGACCGGGCACTAG